CATCTGATCCCTTAGAAGTGCCAGCTACTTTTATATCTGTTTTGCTCCCACGGTGATTGCAGCTTCTTCCACACCCCTTAGATCAAAACAAACCTTTTCTTTGAGTTTTAAGGTGTGTTAGGAAGCACATGTGTTAGATGTAGGTTTTTAATAGAAAGACATGCTGAATGCTGGCTAGGCTGAGATTTTTTTTTTATTATTTTAAGTTTTAGGTGTGAATTGCTCATAGGCTGACAGACTTTGGTGCTTCTATAACCTCTCCTGTGTATTGGTATTGCAAGTGGTTTAGAGGTGGATTAGGGTACTACTTTTGTTTAGCAAAAGGTGGTGGCAAGATTTGGTTGTCACGTAGTAGTGGCATGAGTTATAGGAGCTTCTGCAGTTTGTTGCTGTGAAGGAGAGAGACTCTGGAAGGGCATGTGCCAGGTTTCCCTGCCTATCATTCCTGTCATTGCAACGTGGCTCAGGTGGGGTGTGCAACAGATGGCTGTGTGGCTCCTGGATGCTGTGAGGCCTGTGAGAACTACTTGAGTCCTCACCTCCAGCTGTGCTGACCCCTTGGGCTGTCTCTGTGGTGTCTGAGAGATGGTCAGGGTTTTAGGATGGGTAACAAGAATAAGGTAAATGAAAAGAGTAGTATGGTGATATTTCAGTGCTGCTAAATTTGAAAACATCAGACTACTGTTTATCTGCAGTGCCGAATATGTTTAAAATTGTTGGTTCACATTGTTCTGATTAGTACTTTGTGTACTAGATACAGATGAGCATGGAAACACACACAAACAATCTACAAATCTGTTACAGATTATCGTCTATTTTTCTCTATTTTTTTCCCCCTTTGCTGTTTGACAAGAGTGCACCTGCACTAGCAGTGTGCACATGTGCATTTACCTAATTCTGTTGACAGTGTCTTGTTTCTGAAGGTCAGCATGTTTATGTATTCATTGATTGTGTGACAATGCTGAGGTTTGTTTAAGGATGATAATGACCCACCTGTGTGCTGAAGATAGTTTTCCTTTGCTTTCCAAGTGATGTAGCAATAATTGAAAACATGCTTTACTAAAGCTTTTAGAAGTTGATTTTTAAAAAAATGTAATTTCGCTAGATTTCCTAGAATCTTCTGTGCTGATGTCAAGGAAGTTTCTACTGCCATTTTATAAATGGAGAAAATACTGACCTATAAATGGGGTAATATCGAGCAGCAGTTCAGTTGCTTCTGTACCCTTCAGACAGGCCGTCTCATTCAATGAGATTTGGAATTTAACAATGCAGATTATCAGGGCAAACCTCTTTTAATCAGACAGACCTTCATTTTATGTAGTAGGGATTAGCACAGTTAAAAGTATACTGGAAGGTTGTTACAGCCCCCTATCTGATTAAGGCTGGGTTGCTGGTTTAGGGGATTTTGCTTTGTCTCCAAGCCTTATTCTCACCCATCTGAAAGCGTATTTGCTTTACTTCTCCTGGCTGGCTACATAATAGCAGTAAGGGATTGTATTACACCTCCCAATCTGTCCATATGGAGGACTGGGCAAGAGCATAACAAACCAGTATTGCTTCAACTTGCTGTCTCCAAAGTAAGGCTAATCAGCTCTTGTCGAAAACAGCAGTTGGGAATTGCTGTATCTCTCTTATGTTTTTAACTTCTTTGTGCCAGATGCTTCAGCACACACAGTGCCAGGAAAAGATTTGCACTCCCTGTGTTAGGAATGTCACTTTTGCACAAAGACATTTCAATATTGTTTCCCCCTGATACGGTAATGAGTTTGTTGTAGTCAACTCCAAGCATCATGCTTTCTGTCTCTAGGCTGGAGTTTAACTTACTTTGTTTTTCCAGCATCTTTCACATGTTGGGACAGTTTTTCACAGGTCATTACTAAAGAACTTTAGTTATCTTTTCTGTCTCATGTCCTGTGCCTTAATAACTTCTTAGTTTAGCTGTCATCCTTCTGGCTGAAAAGAAACAGGATAGGATTTCATCCTGCCCTGCCAATGTTGTTTTATAGTCTTTATGAATATCTAGCCACATACACTTCACAGGTTTTCATATAAGTAAAAACTTGGGGGCCATTCTTCAGCAATTCTCTTCAAAGTAAGAACGTTCTCTCTACATGTGTGTGCTTTCCTGTGAAAGCTGATGGCATTTTACTTTAAGCATGGAAAACAACCCTTGTGGATTTCCAGACTGCACAGTCTGATCAGTGATGGAAGTATTCTTCAAAAAGCCACTGGGGATTTATTACTCCCGATTTACAGCTGGAGAAAATAGGGAGATTATTTGGTGGCAGTACTTTCAGTCTTGTTGAGAACACAGATTTGGTTTGAGAAATGAGAGGTTCTGAGCCTTGTCCTCCTTTTTATTTGTGCACACCTTACCAAAGTTGAAATAGGCAGATTAAATCTTGCAGCTGAACAGAGATGATTTAAGGCTTTTTGGTTTGTGTTATATACCTGTCCTATTCAGAGATGTGAGAAATAATTGCAAAATATGTAGTTTACATTCAAGGGTTTTGCTAAACTGTGTTTCTGCAACTATGGATGTTGTGATGCAAAATACATGGTTTCTTCTGCAGGATGCAGTGGATATTATTGCACCAGGTTAATACTTGATATCTGTAGATATCATTGTAAAACTACAGGGAAATAACTTCCTTGCTCAGTGCCTCATTATATCCTCAGTAAAATGGGAAGAATTGTAACTAGTACCTGTGCTATGTATTCTGAGACCTATGAAAGACTTGAAGAAATTGCAGAGGATGTGCATGATGTGGCTGTGATGAGGAGGTTGTTAGTAGAGAGTTAAAATGGAAATTTGCTGTGAAACCAATGGAGTTAGTAAATGTTGACAAAGATAATTTGCACTTTAGAAGACTCGTTGTGTTTGTATAAATATGTGTATGCACATATGGAATACATGCAACTTGAGTGTATAAACCAATGTGTGGTTTTCCCAATTTCAGGTAGTTTTAAAGCTTCAACACCTTATGCCTCAGCATACTAGTGGTATTCACTGGCACTGTTTGAAAATGAGGTAACAGATTTCATTCTCTGCCTGTTTAAGCCGTCCTTGGAATTTTGACAGTTTGGAAGACTCATTTGTAGTGTAGAATATCACTTGAACAGGTTCTCCTGTGGAGTTTTGGTTTCTACAGAAGCAGAGAGGAATCAGGTTGGGCAGATGAGCATCCACCCAGTGTTATACAGAACTGCTGTGCTTGTCTTCTAAATTATTACTTGGCCCTCAGTCCTTTTTGCTGGCCAGCATAGGATTCATATATATTAGCTTGGATCACAGACTCACACAGAAGTTTGTTCTTTCTACATTTCATTTATTATTACTTACTTTTTATGCAATTGTGGCATGCACAAGCCAACAAGACTTAGACCATGTTGTGGAAGATGTAAAATACAGTAAATGGCAGCATCTGCCTCTTAAGAGTTTTTACCCTAAAAGAACCCCCAAATCCTGCAAACATGCTGCATTTATGTAAATTACTCTGATACCAGGCAGGAACTTAAGTCTTCTGTTGCTCTGTGTATCATATAATTTACTACAAAACTATATACTTCTACTCCATCAGAAATTTACTCTATGATTCTATGCATTTAGTTTCCTTTAGAGCAAAACAAAAATATTAGATTAGGGTAAACAAGTTCTCAGCAAAAGCTTGAGAAAGAATGTAGGATTGGAGAATATCTTTAGGCATACAAAACAGTAAGAAGTTTGAAAGTCGTATGTCTGCAAAGAGAAGAGTTAATTTGAGGGCTGGCCGCTAGTAAGGGCTGGCCGCCCTTATTGTAAGTTTATAATTTCTAAGACATTAAAAGTTCCTATCAGCTGTGTTATTAAAATACCTTAATCAATGAAATTTAAATGCTACTGCTTTAAAATAATTTTTCCTTAAGTTTGCTCATGATAATCAAGAATTATATTTTTTCAGAAAGTGTTTGCAATGACAACCACAAAAGAGTCGTGGATGCTTGAATTTACAATATATTAAGCATGAAACAGAGGGTACTACAGCTGGCAGCTTTGTCTTACAGCATACAAAGTATAGGTTTCTCTTCTTGGAGGCAAGTAAAGACAGGGTACCTGGAGAAACCACAAAAGGGAGAGGAATTCAGTTAGCCTTGTCAGGAAGCTGTAACTAGAAAAATACATCCATGAAACAATGAGTTCCAAGTCAATTCAGTTATCTGCTGATTGCACGTGATTCCAGCTCTTCACTTCTCCATGTGCACTGACTCATAGATGTCCTAAGAAGTCTGCTAAAAAAAATTCTGGGGTGTAATATCTGTAAACAGGGAGGTCCTCTGTATTTGAGGGAAAGATCATTTTATGTTGTTTACTCCAAGTTAATATTTGGTGTTGGTCTAGAAGTAAATTATACTGGGTAAAGGTTAACATTGCACAATTGAATCTCATGTATATACACAGTTTAGGCTGTATCTGTTCTGTTCTCACCAGTGCAGTTCATCGTAGTTTGATTATTGTGGTTATCTCAAGATGAGTGCTGTAACTGTAGCTGTTGGGTTTTGGTATGTGATGTATGAATTTCACATTTTTTCTCATTCTGTTGGACTCATGAGCATCTAATATATTGATTGGTACACCTCCAGGTTCATGCTATAGTATGTATGCTATAGGAATTATTTTAGAACTGCAAGTTTCAATTAATTGAAAGGAGTCTCTTTAGGGGTACAAATGGATGTGGAAGTCTAGCAGAGACAAGCCCAAGCAGTGTTCATGTTAGTTTTGGAGTGATTTTTTTGGTAGAAGATTACTGTGCTACTACTTGTCTTAGTGTGTACATGGTAACTTCAAGGGGAAGAAAAGTTCTTTGGAGTAAAGGGGGAAATAGTATAAGTTTTGAGGGTTTAAGAACAACATAAAACTTAAATTGTGTGTTATTTTAAATAATTTGAAAAATAATGGTTTTATGCTGACACATTTTCTAGTTTCACACTAACCCTTAAAGGCTTTTGTGCTTTGTGTGCAGGTATATGTCTCGAGTCCATGGTATGCATCCAAAAGAAACCACACGTCAGCTGAGTTTAGCAGTCAAGGATGGTCTTATTGTTGAAACCCTGACGGTGGGGTGTAAAGGGTCAAAAGCTGGTATTGAACAAGAAGGATATTGGTTGCCAGGAGATGAGATTGTGAGTATAACATCTTTGAGAAAATAAATCATGACTTCTGGTATCTTAGCATGAAACTTCTTTTAATTTCTATTTGAAGTTACTTATAGATACTATGTTGGTGCTTGTGAAGAGGGAAGTAATGCACTCTTAAACTTTTTTAACCTTTCTATTCCATAGAAGCTCTTTCTTCTTGAATTCTGAGCTTTCTGCTGTGAAACACTGGCAAAGTCCTTTGTTCAGTCAACCCTTTTATGTAGTCTTCACTTCTAGAGTTGTACAGGAAGACAATAAATATAATTGGTATTACTTGAAATCCTCAGACATCCTCAAATCCTCAAGAAAATATCTTTAAAAAAAAAAAAAAAAGAAGGAAAACAATAGTTTTTTATTAATCTTGCTTTAATCTGAAGAAGGAAGAACTCCTCTCTTTCAGAAGTACAAGAAGTTGTACATTTATTTATATACAAATACACAAGAAAAGATTTGTGAACAACAGGACAGTCAGTTAGGAAGGATTCTCATAGCAAATTAATTGCAGGTATCCAGCTGTAGTCCCACTGAATGTGTAAAATAAATATTTAAATAGAGTTAAACAGGTTGAAAGTTGTACTAAGGAATGAAAAGAATGCTTTCTCTATTTCTCCATAGTTGTGATGGAGCACATCCAGAAAGTCCCATACTCCAGGAAAAAGCTTGCACAATTGCTTTGCCTTGTTCAGAAGCCCAGTCTCTGTACTAACAAGACCACAATTTCATAGTTAAACAAATAAATAAATAAATAACTGGGCAAAGCTTTAAAATACTTTAAGTAGGAACTGTTGCTTTGGAATATACATTGCATGAAATTCTGGTAAAATGGACAGCATTGTCTCAGACACAGATCATAATTTAAATTTGGAGGAAAACCAAAAAAACTCTATAAGAAAATAAATTCTAAAAACCTATGAAATACTCATTGCATTATTGCAACCATTGATAAGGTCATGAAGTTGAAACAGCTGGCTTATTTTTGTTTTGAAGTGAGAGAAATAGAAAATGGAACCGGTTTCCATAATAGAAAGCATTATGGTTGAAATTATGGCAGTTACACTAATTTAAAGTATTGAAATAGATATTCAATGTACATTATGACACTGTTAAGATTTTCATTCTAATTTCATTAGAAACTCTCAATGAAGCTTTTAAATGGTATGTACTTTTGGTTTTGCTATTCTCCCTGGGAGTAACCATTCCATAATCCCAATTTAGCTCTTTTAGCTATTTCTTCTGTCAGTTTTGTCTGTTTAGAGGTGATGTTAACATGAAGTCTGAGATATGTCGATATCACAGGTTTTCAGATTCCACAAGATATTCAGTTTGCTTCCTCTATTGCTAAGAAAAAAACAAAAACCGGACAAAAAAACCAAACCCTCACAAATAGTCATTTTCTTCAACAGTCGTTGAAAAAAATGTTCCTGGTACTTATTAGCAACGTTTGTCTAACAAAGCTTGTACGATAACCAGCACGTAAATTCCCAGTGAGTCATTGGAATTATGTAATTATTTTATCTGAGAATGAAAAGATTTGTCTTTGACTTGACTGAAGATGCTGCTTAAGTCACATTATGAATAGCCCTTCAGTTAGGAGTATTAACTGTGTTTTCAGCATGATTGCTAATCACTGAAGCATTGTGCTGTGTCCATATGTCTGATGGCCATCAGTTGTTCAGGACACCAGTGCCCACTTGACTTAACAGTTTTATGCAAAAATAGGAATCAGCTCTGATCCAGTCCATGTTTCAACACTACTCAACCTCTGGATTCTTGATCCTACTGCTGAATCAAAATGCTGTAGACACATGAAGCTAAACACATTGACTTGGTATAAAGTAACTCTCTCTGTTCTTTTATTTAAAATAATAATAATAATTAATTAGTTAGAAAGTGTCATTGTCATCACTCAACATCTGATCAAGTATTTGCTATTCTCCAACAACTGGTGCAAACCCATGAAGTTTGGTGTGTTCTCTACACTGGACACACTGGATAGTTTTACAGAGGCTTTGTCTGCACTTGAGCAAGATGCAGTTTGTAGTTCTTTGTAATTCAGTACTGCTCAGATCAACCATGAGCTCAAGTTACATTTCAGTGAGGACAAACCATAGGAGTGTTTTCAGGGAACCCACTTGTAGGAGACACAACTCTATAAAATAGGGCTGTTAATGCTGGAACAGAGATCTCATCAAACTCTAGCACTTGCAGACAGACCCTTGACCAAATTGTCCAACATGGTTTGACTGATACTACAGGAACTTGGAAAGCTCATAATGTGAAAGATAAAGACTTGAGAACTGATCAATCACCTATTGGCATCAGTACAAAAATTACGTTGGCTTTAAGCTTTTTTTCTGACACCACAGTTTGAAGTCAATAAGGGCCGGCTGTTTCAAGGAGTTAGCAAAGGGACACATTCCAGTCATCCCTCCCCCATTTTCTACTTGAGTATTTGCTTGCTGTTTCTAAATATTCTTCAAGTTTTGGATCTAAACCTTAGCATTTAAAATCCATATTCAAGTAAATAAATTACTGGCCCGGGCTGCGGAACTGGTAAGCACCTGTATCTGGTACTTACATAGGTACCTGACTAGAGGCTGCCACAAGGCCTGAAAGTACTGGTTTTAATGATGATTGTGGAATGATTGCTAAATGGTAACAATAATTAAAAGCATACAGATTATGAAAACACAGCTCTATTTGGAAAAGATTCATTAGAAAATCTGTGGTGTTTGCTTATGTTTTTACAGACAATTTCCCCGTCCAGTCAGTTGACATAATTATAGATCTATGCTGTAAGGGCACAATCTCTAGTAGGGTTACTCTTAGCCTTCAGAGGAATATAAGTTATTTTTTATTATATATATATATGTGTATATATATATAATATATATATTATATTATTATTATTATTATTTATTATGTTTTCTATCATTGTTCTAGCAGTATCTTAAAGCTGAGGGGGGAAGCAAAATCTCATAGATTTAGAGATCTCATGAAAAAGAACAAGCTGAGGTTCGAACACAAAACAGTTTGAGGGTGTCAGGAGGAGGCCCTTCCAAAAGGGACAACTCATGTGAAAATGAATATTCTGAAAAACTGGAAAAAAGAATTAACAGATTTAAAAGAGCCTAAAATTGTTCTCTTTTTCTCTCAGATATATGTGGGAGAAATACTTTTACATAAATTACTAAATTTAAAATATGGAGTCAGTAGCCAAATGTACTATATTCCAACTGATATTTATGGTTTGGTATCTATACAAAACCTTTGCTGCAAATATTATACCTCCAGGGCTTGTGCAGATACTCATTTGGTTTGCTCATTTGCCATCTATATAGATGTTTTGCAGATTTTCGAAATGTGTTCTCATCTTACGGAATTTCTCATCTTGCAGATGATTAATGCATTTGACAAAATAAATGAAAGAAGAAATTATTTTCCATTGTTATCCAGGATTTTAGTTAGGAATTTTGCATTTTCACTGCTTGTCGATGCCATTATTATGCAATTCAACAAAATCTCTGCAGCTTCTTGCCTTGCAAGGGAAATGACAGACCTGAAATCTGGTAATGGAAGTTTATTTTTCTCTTCTGAAAGCCTGGGTTTTATTTCTCACATATCTTGTGGAACTTTGAAGTTTTATTTATTATTGAAGTAAAATAAATTATCTCCTTACTCTTTGGGTGTAGAAAAAAAATATGCAACTCAGTGCTTATACCTATGTTTTCAATGCAGTGGACAAAATAGAAAGGAAATGTAGTTCTTGAAGAAAAGAACCATTAATCTCCTTACCTATTCATTTCTGTATTCAATTATGCCATGCTTTCATTTGCTTTTACCTGTGTAAAATAGTGGTCAGTCTAATCCCAATGAAAGAAATTAAGTTAAAGCACCTATGTCATAGCTTTTTTGGGGGGTTAGGTACAGTTCTTAGAGTTAGTCTTACTCCTTTACATATTTTGTGATTTTTCTACAGACAGTGTGCATGGAACTGTTTTGAGCATTTAATGTGCTAATTCTTCTCCTCATGATTAAAGTCATAAAACTACACTGACCAAGAGAGAGGCATTGTGACTGTATTATTTCAATTTACATGTGTTCATAAAGCCAAAGAGTATTGTGCTCTTCTAAAATGGAGATGTGTCAGTAACGTGGGTTCATTGTTGGCATCTGAATGCAACATATCGTATAGCACTGCAGTGGTTTAAAGTTGGTTTGTAGGGGCCAAATTCTCTAATGAGATGTGAAGAGTGAGGCTTTCCACTTTGTTAAGGCACTTGGAGCTCTCTCTTCACTGACAAGATGCATACAAGGTGATTATGTTTTCAAGAAGTCACTCTTTTTCAGAGTTCCGTTTTGTAATTATTTCATTGATTGCTTACAGAAAGACCCAACAACTCCAGTTAAACTGGCTGTTTAAGTCTGACTTTGGGGGTTTAAAGTAATTTTCCTGTGCATTTGTCCTCTCCATATCTAAATTATTGCCAGTAGTTCTCCTTTTTTTCCCTCTAAAGAATTTTTAGTTTAGTGCAGAACTGGAGGGAGGGAGGGAGAAGTTTGCGTTCCTGTTTTCAGTAAATATTAGAAACAGAATATTAATTTTCCCCGTACATCCATAAAAACAACTTGCTAACTGATACTGGGGAATTTCTCATATTTTTTATCTAGAAAGTACTGGTCCTTGCTCAAAGTGACTCCAGATACTTTCAAGTCTCAAGACTACCTAAATAATCCATCTCTTCCCTGCTTCTGCTTTTTCATCATTTTAACCTGTGTTGTAACCCACTGAGAGCACTGTGAGTTTTGAAGGTAATTTTGTTAACCCCAGTGACCTTAGGCACACAACCAGTGATTATTGTGATTTGATGTGTTGCAGCTGCAATTTTGCTACGATCAGTCTATGAGAAAAGGAGTATTTTGGCTGTTACGTTTGTATTCATCTTAATTGCTTTAGATTGAGCAAAGGCTGGGTTTCTCACTTG